AGGGGGCGGCGAGGTACCGAAGTGATCCGCGTGGGGCCCACCTCCACTGGGCCTCCAAGGAGCACACGGAAGTGGCGACAACTGCGCAGATCGCAAGCCCCCCAGGGGGCGGCGAGGTACCGAGGTGATCCGCGTGGGACCCGCCTCCGCTGGGCCTCCCAGGAGCCCACGAAAGTGGCGACACTTGCGCAGATCGCAAGCCCCCCAGGGGGTGGCGAGGTACAGAGGTGATCCGCGTGGGACCCACCTCCACTGGGCCTCCCAGGACCCCACGAAAGTGGCGACAACTTCGCAGATCGCAAGCCCCCCAGGGGGCGGCGAGGTACCGAAAAGATCCGCGTGGGACCCACCCCCGCTAGGCCTCTCAAGACCCCACGAAAATGGCGACAACTGCGCAGATCGCAAGCCCCCCAACGGGGCGGCGAAACACCGAGGTGATCCGCGTGGGACCCACCTCCACTGGGCCTCCCAGGAGCCCGCGAAAGTGGCGACAGTTGTGCAGATCGCAGCCCGACGGCACGAGGGAAGAGGAGAGGGGAACACCGGAAACAGGAGAGAAGGAGGAGGGGAGGAGAGGGGAGGAGAAGGAAGGAAGGAAGGAGGGACGGGGCGACCACACTGCTCTATTCAAAACGAGTGCCCAACGCAGGAGGGTTGGACAATTACTCACTGCGTGGAGCTCCCCATACGTGCATCTCATGTTGTATGTCATGCCGTGGTGAGCGTCTGTTCATGAGCGGTCGACTACAATAGCGCGTCCACGTGGGCGACAGGGCCGACGAAGACGAGTGACCCCTAATGCGAGTGATTGCGTATGAGAGTATGGTTGAATGCGAGCCTCTTCCTCTTCATCCCCCCTCCTCAGCTGCCAGGCCTTCCCATTTTCAGCCCGCGGTAGCTTTGGAGCTTCCCACATGTGCATGTGTTGTAGGATAGTTGGCAGTGGGATATGTAAGACGAGCGTTTAGCCACACAAGGCCATAAGTGCATGTCATGTTGCAGGATAGTGCCACGGTGAGCGTTTCCAACGATCCCCGCACACAACCACCGCCCCCCCCCCTCGCAGTCACCCCCATATGAATATATATACATATATATATATATATATATGTCCTGGCTGGACTTCGGAACAAACGTTCTGCTCGCGTCAAGGACCTTCGAGCAAAGCGCCCTCCTCCTCCTCCTCCTCCTCCTGTTCCTCCGCCCCCTCCCTTCTCCTGCTCCTGCTCCTCCTCCTCATCCTCCTGCTCCCCCTCCCCCTCCGCACCCCCATGCCCTTCCTCACGATCCCCCGCCTCCTCCTCCTCCTGTTCCTCCTCCTCATCCTCGTTCCTGTCATTTCCCTCCCTGTTGAGCCCAGAAACAAGCGAACCGCCTGAGACATCCCCACAATATGGCCGCGAACGTGCCCGTGCAACCACCCCTGGCGGCTCCCCATAGGGGTGCTGCAACCAGCGCCCCGCTTGAGACATCGTCACAATCTGCTCTCCAAGCGAAGGATGTTGAGCCCAGAAACAAGCAAACCGCCTGAGACATCCCCACAAAATGGCCGCGAACGAGCCCGTGCAAACACCCCTGGCGGCTCCCCTTAGGGGTGCTGAAACCAGCGCCCCGCCTGAGACATCCTCACAATCTGCTCTCCAAGCGAAGGATGTTGAGCCCAGAAACAAGCAAACCGCCTGAGACATCCCCACAAAATGGCCGCGAACGAGCCCGTGCAAACACCCCTGGCGGCTCCCCTTAGGGGTGCTGAAATGAGCGCCTCGCTCGAGACATCCTCCAAATCTGCTCCGAAAGCGAAGGATGTTGGGCCAGAAACAGGCAAACCGCCTGAGACATCCCCACAAAATGGCCGCGAACGAGCCCGTGCAACCACCCCTGGCGGCTCCCCTTAGGGGTGCTGAAACCAGCGCCCCGCCTGAGACATCCTCACAATCTGCTCTCCAAGCGAAGGATGTTGGGCCCGGAAACAAGCAAACCGCCTGAGACATCCCCACAAAATGGCCGCGAACGAGCCCGTGCAAACACCCCTGGCGGCTCCCCTTAGGGGTGCTGAAACCAGCGCCCCGCCTGAGACATCCTCACAATCTGCTCTCCAAGCGAAGGATGTTGAGCCCAGAAACAAGCAAACCGCCTGAGACATCCCCACAAAATGGCCGCGAACGAGCCCGTGCAACCACCCCTGGCGGCTCCCCTTAGGGGTGCTGAAACCAGCGCCCCGCCTGAGACATCCTCACAATCTGCTCTCCAAGCGAAGGATGTTGGGCCCAGAAACAAGCAAACCGCCTGAGACATCCCAACAAAATGGCCGCGAACGAGCCCGTGCAACCACCCCTGGCGGCCCTCCTTAGGGGTGCTGAAACCAGCGCCCCGCCTGAGACATCGTCACAATCTGCTCTCCAAGCGAAGGATGTTGAGCCCAGAAACAAGCAAACCGCGTGAGACATCCCCACAAAATGGCCGCGAACGAGCCCGTGCAAACACCCCTGGCGGCCCCCCTTAGGGGTGCTGAAACCAGCGCCCCGCTTGAGACATCCTCCAAATCTGATGTGTGTTGAGTAAGTCTGAATATGAGTAGGTCTGAATCTGAGTATGCCTGAGTATGAGTAATTCTGTGTATGAGTAAGTCTGTGTATGAGTAAGTCTGGGTATGAGTAGTCTGTGTATGAGGTCTGTATGAGTGAGTACGTCTGAGTATGAGTAATACTGTGTATGAGTACGTCTGGGTATGAGTAAGTCTGTATGAGTATGTATGTAGTCTGGTATGAGTAAGTCTGGGTATGAGTAAGTCTGTGCATGAGTAAGTCTGTGTATGAGTATGTCTGAGTATGAGTAAGTCTGAGTATGAGTAGGTCTGAGTATGAGTAAATCTGAGTATGAGTAAGTCTGTGTATGAGTAAGTCTGAGTATGATCAAGTGTGAGTATGAGTAAGTCCGACAGGAGGGGAGGAGAAAAGAGGAGGAGGGAGAAGAAGTAGGAGGCGTCCAAGTAATAACAAGAACCCCATCTTAGGATATGGGGAAAATTCAGCCCGTGCGGCGGACATCTCCAGAGCCTTGCAGTCTGCCGACGTCCTCGCCGACCCCTCATTTATCCGAGACTGCGGGGTGCTACGTGTAGATGCATGTATATATTGTTACTGTTGACGCACATGTATATATACTTATATATACATACATACATGCATGTCATAGATATGTCTGCCGATTACCCCTTGTACATAAACATACATATCACGCGGCACAGCATGAGCACGCCCCGAAGTATCCTGCCAAGTCAGGTCATTGCATGCGCCAAGCCACCAGACTTACATGGCATCAACTGTATGTCAAAACACGGTAACAAACATGTACAATGTCGTATAACAAACAAACATCCCGTACCACCCCACACCGGCACATAACGTAACACTGCGCAGCATATCACAGCACAGCAGAGCACGAGTACCCATCAGAGACGCCAAGAGCCCGCAAAAGTAGGAGAGCCCTTGGGAATCCCTCGAAAACTGGAGGAATGACTGGGGTGGGGGGGAGCAGATGCAACGCTGTCCCAACCGCAGGAGAAGCAGAACAACTCATCCAAGCAAAGCCGACGTTGGGGAGGAAGTTCAGAAGTTTCGGGGAGGACTGGAGAGGACAAAGAAGGGCCCGTGCCCAGCCCCCGGAGGGCTCAGAGCGTCGGTGCGCGCTCCCCCTCCGAGTCCCCTCCTCGGTCGTTGTTGGAACCATCTCGGGCCGTTGTGGAAGCCTTAGCGGGCTGTCTGAGAGCCCTCGTGGGCCGTCTCGGAGGGCCGCGCCAAGGACGCCGTTACAATTTACTCAGAAGTCGCGCTCTCGCCACACTCAGGCATCCCGCTTGAATGTCCCCCCCGCCCGACCCGCCGACCCGCCCGTCAGGGGATCGCCCGCCCGTCGTGGGCTCCCGCCCGACACTTCCCTTAGGAACGGCGCTTTCGCCTAGGACTTCCTCGAACGTTCACGCTCTTACATTCCTGCTCCTCCTCCCTCTCCCTCCTCCCTCCTCCCTCCTCTCCCCCCTTCTCTCTCCCCCCTCTCTTCCCTCACCCTTATGCCTCTCTGCCCGATCCCCTTGCGAACTTCGAGGCGAAGCTCACTATCCCAAAGGAGGGAGCAGCGCAGACCCAGCGCAGATCCTCACCTCAATCCCAAGCCTCCGAGGCGAATCTGCGGGCCTCTCGGCAGGGGTCTGCCCCTTCCTGGGGGCACCAAAAGAGAGAGAGCTTCCTGCCAGGGGCGGGGCACCTTCGAAAGCAAATGGGGAAATCAATCAGATATGCCAACACCGAGAACCATCCCAGAGACCTCTCCTGGGGTGCTTCCCGACAAGGATTTTGAGGCGAGTCCGGCATGGGCATCTGCTCCTCCTCTGACCTTCCCCGTTGCCATGCCACATCTGAGATGATGTTTTAAATTAGGCCCTCTTACAGAGGGGGTCGGACGAACAATAAAAAACCCAACAAATATTCCAAGGTCAAACAATGCCAGAACAATCGTCCCAAGACTAATGTTTTACTACTGTTGAATATTCCTGCAGTAGAGGAACGTGCACGACTTGAGTTTGAAACGCTGAGGGGCTACATTTTCCGATTTCAAGGTCAATGTTTTGCTTGTCCGTTGTGGGGGTTCATGTGTTGTTTCCGTGTTGGGATGCTCGTTCGCGCCGTCTCCTGTGTACCGCTGTGGATGTTTCTGTGCTGGGCTGCCGTTGTGCTTTCCCGCTCTCGATGGCCAAAAAATCAAAAAACTGAAAACTGAAAGATCGCCCCCAGCGTCTAGATTGGGGATGGACAGGACCCCCTTTAGTGAAACGTGGTTTAGTGAGAACCTCGCGCCCAGACCTGGCGGGCGCAAGCGCGGAAAATGACGGCCGCGGCGCGCTCTCGAGAACCGAACACGGACAATTCACGAATCGACGTGTCAGGGTGGGGCTTCTGTCCGCCCCCGATTCTAACATCAACCGTCTTGCGCGCAGCCGAGTCCTTCGTGCTCGCGCAGGCCCAGGTGAGCGCGCCCAGCGCGCCCATCACGTGCAGCTCGCAGCTCTCCACCGGCGCCCCCTGCGTGCCGGGTGTCTGGCTCGGGCCTCGGAGAGCTCTCCGGGAGCGTCCCCCGGAGGCCTCTGGACCTCCCTGGGTAGCGGTGTCCTGCAGCCCCTCAGAGGCTTCACCGAAGTGCCAAAAACGGACACAATCTGGACCATCCATCCTTGAGGCACGAGGGGGAGGGAGAGGAGGAGGAGGAGGAGGAGGAGGAGGAGGAGGAGGAGGAGTATGAGGCCCGAGGGCTCAAGTTGCGGCGAGCAGCATGGTCGGAGCGAGGAGGCAGACCGACGGGGGCAAGCCCCCAACCAAAGGCAGGGTGGGCGCCCGCATTCCCACCTGGGGCGGAAGCAGCCAACGCGCTCTGCCCCAGGCCGATGACCCACAAGCTATGGGCCGACCCCGAACACCCCATGACGCTCCGGCAGGCAGTACAGTGAGGAGGGACGCTGAGGTCACCACAAGAGCATCCCCCACACAACCGAGAAGCCCAGCGCGAGAGACGGAGGAGGAGGAGGAACAGAAGGAGGAGGAGGAGGAGCAAGAGTGAGCGTCGGGGCCCAAGGGCAAGAGGAGGAGGAGAAGGGGGAGGATAAGGAGGAGGAACAGTCGGCTGCACGCAAGAAGAGTGAGCCTACGGAAGGGTGCCCATTCGTGCGCGGCTCGCAGCAGCGGCCCGCGTGCTTGGGATCTGCCCCCGCCGCGCCAGCCAAATGCCGCACACCAAAGGCCGCTCCGGCGGAAGTCACCCTGACATGTAGACTGAAACTGAGGAGGATAAGAAGGAGGAGGAGGAGGAGAAGGAGGAGGAGGAGGAGGGGGAGGAGGAGGAGAAGGGGGAGGGGGAGGAGGAGGAGGAGGAGGAGGAGGAGGAGGAGGAGGAGGAGGAGGAGGAGGAGGAGGAGGAGGAGGAGGAGGAGGGGGAAAAAGAAAAGAAGGACATAAATAAAAGGAGGCGGAGAAGGAGAAGGATGGAAAAAGGAGGAGGAGGAGGAGGAGGAGGAGGAGGAGGAGGAGGAGGAGGAGGGAACTACGCGTGTCTTCCCCGCACGGTGGAAGCCACCCCGCGCCGTGTGCCAACGCCCCGCAGGGCCTATGTATAGCCCATCGCCGCCGGAGTGGCGGCGTTTTTCCCGCGATAGCAGGCCGCGAACCAGAGTGGAAGAGGGGGGAGGCTGGGAAGGATGAGCGGGAGGGGGGGGGAGGGGAGGAGGGAGGAGGAAGGTTAAAACAAGGAAGCACACTTGAGGGGCAGGTTCCCAAACGATAGAATAAGATCGTTGCCCCTGCGAGTGAATATGAACGTCTGGGGATCTTTCAGGCCCTGCAGTTTCCCCTCGTGGGGCCTGGGGCAAACGAAAACCTTTCAGGCCTGCCTGGGCGCCCTGATGGGTCCTCGCGGACGATAGCTGCTAAGCTTGCCCACTGGCGGAGGCCGAAACGACTTGCCTGTACCATGATCGGCATCGGGGGGGGGATGGGCTGTCGAGGTAACCTGCTCGCGGGTTCGCTCCCCAAGGGACCCGAAACTCGTCTGCAACTCCGAACGGGAACTTGCCGTGAGGCCCTCGTCCCGCCGCCCCTCCCCCTTCGCCCCCCGCCACCCCACAGAGTCTACCGCGAGAGAAGGAGCTCTTCTTCGGGCCGACGGGGCGAAAACGGGAAGGCAGGAAGGGGGTAGGGGAAAGGCGACCAAAGCAAGGAGATGCGAGAGAATCGCCCCCCCCCCCCACCCTCCCCCGCAAGAACCGGGAGGACGCACTGGGGGGGCGAGATGAACACGAAGGTGCAAGCCCGTCCTAAGGGCCAAGCCCGACGCGCTAGATTCGCGCCGACAATCAATGATGAAGATTGTATACGCTCCTGTAAACTGCAGGAGCATATCATCAAGTGTGTCAAGGGACTCCTGAGGCAACCAAGAAAGCCTGGATATTCTTCATTGATTGGTCATGCCGCTACTTCTTCGAATTGGTGTACCTCTAGAGCAGCGTTTGCTTCCCAGCGCGTGTGCTCTGCATCGTGCGCGGAACAACCCAGAGTAGCATCACCGGGACAACACGTTTCGTACACATCGTAACTTCGTTGCACGTGTCCTACAAAAATCCTTGCGCCGACTGCGAGCTGGCGTCTTGTTTTGGACTGTTGTAGCGCGTTCGCCTCATCATCTGTAAACAATAACCGCTCCTCCTTCGCCGGGCATGTCCTAAACGACGTCCATCCATGGTCCAACTGGAACGTCGGCTTCATTGGTGCGTGTTCCTCGGAAGCGGCGCTTTCTTTTCAAATATTCTCGAGCAGAGTTGCACGGAACGCATCTGGGTGCCCAGGCGGGTTCATCTCTCCAGGATCGCATCGGGCCCTGCGGGAGTTTCCCTAGGACGAGGAGGAGGAGGAGAAGGAGGAGGAAGAGGAGGAGGAAGAGGAGAAGGAGGAGAAAGAGGAGGAGGAGGTGGGGGAGGGGAGGGGGAGGGGGAGGGGGAGGAGGAGGAGGAGGGGAGGAGGAGGAGGAGGAGGAGGAGGAGAGAAGGAGAAGCAGGAGGAGAAGGAGGAGGAGGAGGAGGAGCAGGAGGATGAGGAGGAGGAGGAGAAGGAGGCGGAGGAGGAGGAGGAGGAATAGGAGGAGGAGGACGACGAGGAGGAGGAGGAGGAGGAGGAAGAGGAGGAGGAGTCTCAGCCTGTTGTGCCAACATCTCCGGGGCAGCCCTGTTCGCGGGTCTTCGGCGAGACCGGGCCCCCGCGAGCCTGGGCGGGGCGCCTTCTCCGGATCTAATCTGGCCCGCGTCGCGGGCTTTCTTTTTTCGACTGATGTCCTGACACCCCCTACGTAGATTCATCCAACTTGCTTGGGCTCACGAAGAGCAAGCGGCAAGCCACGGTTTTAGAGCATCTCCTGCTCCTGGCCAGGCACTCTGTCACTATGTCCCCGTCCCCGTGCACATGTCTGCCTCGATCTGTGTACAAGTGTGTCCTTCTACTCCGCTCCAGACCTCGGCTAAAATCGACAGTCCGACCCGAGAGGATGCGAAGGCCGATGTGCTGAGCATGTTTCGCACGCGTCCGTATGACTCGCACGCGGCGCTTCAGACTTGCACTGGTCACCCTTTCATCTCAGACGACCTGCGGCGTGCTGCAAAGAAATGGCATCGGGCAGAGAGGAAACCCGACAGGTATAACAAGCACGGTCGTCAATTGTGTGTGCACGCGGTCCGCCTCCCCGCCCTGGCCTCTGGCAAAGCTTGTCGCAGGCCCTGGAGGTCCTGAAAGGGGGAAACGTGCACCCTTTTCGCGGGTCGGTAATTGTTTCGAACCGTCTTACGGCGACCTGAGGGAGGAGGAGGAGGGGGAGGAGGAGGAGGATAACAAGATTCGGTTGGATTAGGCTGGTGGGTAACGATGTGGCGAGACAACCTCTCAATCACAACTATCTGTCATCATCCGCACACTGCACACTGCCGACAGCCGGACTGCTCACTTCCCGCCCCCCCTCCCGCAACGAGGTGAACAGGGGAACAGGCGGAGGAGGAGGAGGAGGAGGAGCAGCAGCAGCAGCAGCAGGAGGAGGAGCAGGGGCAGGAGCATGAGCATGACCGCACGACTAAGTCAATGAATCCACCGCAACACCTGAATTAAGCCTTGCCTCGGGAGGCCAGAGCCCCTGGGAGATTCGACGCAAATACTCAGCCCTGGTGGGTGTCAGTCGAGACACACATTCCCTACCGAGGGCCAGCGGCTGATGAGAACCGAACCTTCCACAGGAGTAGGTAAGAAGGAGGATGAGGAGGAGGAGGAGGCAAGAGCGGAGGAGAGGAAGGAGGATGGGGGAGGAGGAGGAGGAGGAGGAGGAGGAGGAGGAGGAGGAGGAGGAGGAGGAGGGAGGAGGAGGAGGCAAGAAGGAGGAGGAGGCAAGAGGAGGAGGAGGAGGCAAGAAGGAGGAGGAGGCAAGAAGGAGGAGGAGGCAAGAAGACGGAGGAGGAGTAGGAGGAGTAGGAGGAGGAGGCAAGAAGGAGGAGGAGGAGGCAAGAAGGAGGAGGAGGAGGAGGAGGAGGAGGAGGCAAGAAGGAGGAGGAGGAGAAGGAGGAGGAGGAGGAGGAGGAGAACCTCCGGGTCGGCCAGCTCCCACTCCAGGCGCAGCGTGCTCGCGCCGCGCAGGGCCCGGGAGATGCGGCGGGGGGCAGCCGGAAGCTCCGAGGTCCCGAAGCGGCCGCGCCCCCACGCGCCGCAGCCGGCCTCGCGCAGGCTCCCAGACATCCGACCTCGACGACGACGACGACGACGACGACGACGACGACGACGACGAGAACGTTGACGACGACGACGACGACGACGACGACGACGACGACAACGGCGGCGGCGGCGGCGGCGGCAAGGACGAGGACGAGGCCGAAGACGAGGGCGAGGACCAAGACGATGAGGACGAGGACGACGGGCCCGCAACACCTGCAGAGGTGCACTGAGGGCCGCCCAGGGGGTGCAGGGAATATCACTGGCAGAGGTCACCAAAGTCAAGCCACTCTCAACTCTGCATGACCTGGCCACGGCGTCAGGGGCGCTCGATTCTGAGGGGAACGTAGGGGGGTGGCAGCTCAGGGGGGGGGAAACATCGAGCTGGGATCTGCGCTGGATCGCCAACATATCGAAGGTAGGCCCCCATAGCGAATCTGCAGGTTCCTGGGCGGGGTGGACTGTCGGGCTCCTATGGGCGCTCAACGGGCGACCGTAGGTCGATGCATCCCCGCCTGGGCCACCTCCCCCGAACCTTAGCCCCGATCCACGACCGGGGCCCTCCGAATCAGGGGGGGACCAGATGGTACCGATACCGCTACTCCCGGGACCTCTCCCGGGGTGCGTTCTGACCCGGATTTCGAGGCGAATCCAGCGGTGGCGACGAGGGAGGCCCAGGAGGCCGAAAAAGGGGAAAGCGGGAGAGGGGTATAGGCATGGGTACCCTGTCCTCCTCCTATGAAATCGCTGACATTCTAGCTCGGCCAACTTCCAGCACCTCACCCACCCATGCGAGACGCGCGGCGTAGTAGTAGTAGTAGTCGTAGTAGTCGTAGTAGTCGTAGTAGTAGTAGTAGTAGTAGTAGTAGTAGTAGTAGTAGTAGTAGTAGTAGTCGTAGTAGTAGTCGTAGTCGTAGTCGTAGTAGTCGTAGTAGTCGTAGTAGTAGTAGTAGTAGTAGTAGTAGTAGTAGTAGTAGTAGTAGTAGTAGTAGTAGTAGTAGTAGTAGTAGTAGCTTGTAGTAGTATTAGTAATAGTAGTAGTAGTAGTAGCAGTAGTAGTAGTAGTTAGTAGTAGTAGTCGTAGTCGTAGTCGTAGTAGTCGTAGTCGTAGCAGTAGTCGTAGTAGTAGTCGTAGTAGTAGTAGTAGTAGTAGCAGCAGTGGGAGTGGTAGTAGCAGTAGTGGTAGTAGTAGCAGCAGCAGCAGTAGTAGTAGTAGTAGTAGTAGCAGTAGCAGAGTAGAAGTAGAAGTAATAGTGGTAGTCGTAGTAGTAGTGGTAGTAGTGTAGTAGTAGTAGTAGTAGTAGTAGTAGTAGTAGTGTAGTAGTAGTGTTTAGTAGTAGTAGTAGTAGTAGTAGTAGTAGTAGTAGTAGTAGTAGTAGTAGTAGTAGTAGTAGTAGTAGTAGTAGTAGTTTCACTAGTAGTAGTCGTAGTGTTAGTAGTAGTAGTAGTAGTAGTAGTAGTAGTAGTAGGAGTAGTAGTAATAGTAGTAGTAGTAGTAGTAGTAGTAGTAGTAGTAGTAGTAGTAGTCGTAGTAACAGTAGTAGTAGTATTATTATCATTGGTAGTAGTAGTAGTAGTAGTAGTAGTAATATTTGTATATGTATTTGTATTATGATAGGTATTGTTAGTATTATTCGAATGATGCTTAATCTGATTAGTATAATTCTTATTCTTGCGCCAGGGTGTGCGATCTGCACTGGCGCGCCGCGGGGATCCCGTCGGGGCGGTTCGCGGCGCGCCTCGGGGTTGCGCGGGTCGCAGGCATTGGCCCTTGCAGCCTGAGGGCATCGGCGCTTGCGTCCTGCCGTCGGCGGACGGCGCGCGCGCTTGCGCCCAACCCTCCCGCTCCTATGGGTACTTGCATCCCTGGCGCCCCGCGCGTCCGCTCAGACTGGCACCGCCAGGCTGGGCGGCGCGGGGGGTGCCGCACCCCTTGTCGAGTGGGTGCAGGCACCTTCGGGTGCGGGAGGCGACTGGCGCAGCTGAAATGAAATATGTGCGCGACGAGAGGCCTTATTCTCCTCCTCCTCCTCCTCATCCTCCTCCTCCTGGGATCCTCGAAGCATCCTGGCCCGTTGCTGCCAAGCCCGGCGCCTCGTTGACCCCGCGCACGCGCAGGTCGTACTCCGTGCCGATCGAGAGGGCGCTCACGGTGCACCTCCGCCAACCACGCGCGGGGCGCTTTCTTCGTTGGCGTTCTCTTATTCGGCTTTTCGACATTGGGCGAAAATGGGAGGGGGAGGAGGGGATCTGGCTCCAGACCTCTGCTTAATGCGACTGTTTGCAACCGTGCGCGTTCTGTGGGGGAGGCTCCGCCTGCTCGAAACAGGCGCCCAAAACAGCCAAGATCTACTCCAGGGGGCGGGGGGAGGGGGGGTGCGAGGGCCCGCGCCGATCGGCAAACCAATGAATAGGAAAACGATCACACATTCGACGCTGTTTTCCGCTTTGGGGCCTACTTGACGTCCTCGTTCACGCCCTTTTCGGCTCGATTCCGTTTGCTTGTTGTATGCCGGGCTGCCGTGCTCTTGTTGTGGCTGTCGGGGGCGTCCAAGAGCGGGGCGTCCAAGAGGGAGGGGGGTGCAAATCATGGCCAGCGGCATGTACGCGGCCCAGGGGAAAGAGGGGTGACGTAGTTGATGAAACAAGACTAGGGGCCCGCCATGAACTCTGGGGAGCTATCACGGCCCCCGCCATGACATCCACACACCCCCAGTCATCACCCCCCTCTTGGCCGCCCCAGAGGCTGGCCGAACACCGAGCAGCTAAAAACGAAACCGGGCTCCCGCGCCCCACCAGAGGCAAAAATACCACTGCCACCAGCTAGGGGGGGGGCTGTCCCACCCTCTTGAGCTGGTGGCACCTCGTTCTGGGCATGCCCCAGAGAGTGCCCGGAAGGAGGTGCCACCAGCTCGAGGGGAGGGAGCGGCCACCCCCGTAGCAGGTGGTAGTGGTACTTTTGGCCCACCACGCTGCGGCGCGACACTCGAAGAAGAAGAAGAAACGCCATAAACATAAACGGTTAGCGCTCCGCGCGGACTTCTTGGATCCGCGCCGGGCCACCCCAGCGTAGATCCAAGGAACCCACGCGGAGCGCCAAAAGTTGATGCTTACGGCGTTGGTTATTCTTCTAATGCACTTCCCAGTTCCCAGGTGTCAATGTCCCGAGCCTCTCCATGCCTGCTGCCCCGCGGAGCGGAGCGGCAGGCTGGCCGCTCGCACGGCGTCCGCCGCCGCGACAGGCTGAGCAAAACTACTTTTGTCTCTCCTGAGAGCCGAGACGTGAGGGGGGGCCCGAGGCAGCACCTCCAGGCGCCCCACGGCTGCGGCAGCTGCAGCGGCGCGCCGCCGCCCTCGAAGGCCGCCTCCTGCCAGCCGAGCGCGCCCAGCACCTGCCCAGGCGGGGAGAGAGGAGGAGGCATGAGAGGAGGAGGAGGAGAAGGAGGAGGAGGAGGAGGAGGAAGAGGAGGAGGAGGCAAGAGAGAATGAGGAGAAGAAGGAGGAGGAGGCATGAGAGGAGGAGGAGGAGGAGGAGAAGGAGGAGGAGGGAGGAGGAAGAGGAGGAGGAGGCAAGAAGGAGAATGAGGATGATGATGAGGAGGCCAGAGCGGAAGAGAGGAAGAAGGATGGGGAAGGAGGAGGCATGAGAGGAGGATGAGGAGGAGGAGGAGGCAAGAGAGGATGAGGAGGAGGTGAAGGATACTGATGAGGAGGAGCAGGAGGAGGAGGAGGAGGAGGAGGGGGATGCAGAGGAGAGGAGGACGAGGAGGAGGAGGAGGAGGAGGCAAGAGAGGATGAGGAGGTGGAGGAGGCGGAGGAGGAGGAGGCAAGAGCGGAGGAGAGAAAGGAGGATGGAGGAGGAGGAGGAGGAGGAGGATGAGGAGGCGAAGGAGGAGGAGGAGAAGGAGGAGGCAAGAGCGGAGGAGAGGAAGGAGTATTGGGGAGGAGGAGGAGGAGGAGGAGGAGGAGGAGGAGGAGGAGAAGGAGGAGGAGGAGGAGGAGGAGGAGCGAGGGGGGCGACATGATCGCTCGGACGTTTATTGCCTGTGCATGCTTGTTCGGCTGCGTGCGCTCCCTTTTTTCCGCAAGATGATCCGAGATGCTCCTAGATGCTTTCGCCGATCAGAGAAGTCCCGAGCGATGCAGAGGGGACGCGGGGCGCCTCCCCCCCTTCGCCCACAAGGCTCTGCACCAGTGTCCGCCGCCCGACGCCCGTGGATTGGCACCTGCCGCGACGAGGAGCGCGCCCTGCCGGGACGCGGGCCCTGGCCCCCTGGGGCTCTCCTTCGGCACAGGCTGGGGCCCCAGGGGCGAGCAAACGGCCACAGACCTCTAAGGCAGGCTTTCCCTCCAGGACCCCGCGTCCCCCCTCCGAGCTCTGGGGCCCCCCCCTCTGTGGGCAGCCCAGATGCGCGGGCTCGCGGGCTCCTCGTCCTCGCCGCGCGCCCCGGGGCCACCCGCTCCCGTGCCTCGCGCCGAAGGAGGCCAGAAGGAGGCCGTACACACCCCGCTTGGCGCGTGGGCGAGACGAACGCCTTGCACTGCAGCGCGCTCAACCACCAGAAAATTGCACGAGCCGAGGAGGGGGGAAGGGAAGAGGGCGGTGACCGTTTTTTTTTCCCCGGGTAACGGTCGCTACCCAGGAGGGAAGGGGGCGGGGTCGGGCGTGAGGGTGACGGCAACGGCGGCCGCGGCGAGTACCCGCCAGGGTGCGTCCGCGCCGGCGTCGCCTGAATCGCCTGTGCGCACCACAGCCCCCCCCCAGAGCGTTGCCTGGGGGGGCGAGGGGACGGGGGTGGGCCCGCGTAACGGGCGTCACCCCGGGGATGAAAACCATACAAAGACGTTCGTAAGGGAGGGAGAGGCACAGGCAGAAACGTGCCTGGCGCCGCACGCCGGCGCGAGAGGCGGTGATCATCCCGCGCCACCCTCGCACCGCCCTCGCAAGGGCCCCTGTCTGGAGATGGGGCGGCTCCCTGGACCGGACCGCGCGGCGCGGTGCGCGGCCGCCAATGCGCAGCTTTTCCCTCGTCCTCGTCGTCGTCGTCATCCTCGCACACCTCCTCCTCCACCTCTGCTTCCTCCTCGGCCGCCTCCTCCCCACACGAACTGGCGAACCTTTTTTTTATGGCGATTTGGTGCACCGCGAAGTAAGACTCAAGTCTGTCATGTCTCTCCTCTCCCAAATCGACCACAATGAGACTCACAAGATCGCATGCATAAATCCAAAACCATCGAGAGGGAGCTACCCCGCCTATCCTCTCCTCGAACGAGGCAGGGCAGGTGAGAGAGGGGGGAGGCGATGGAGAGGAGGAGCGAGGAGGGAGCACGGGAAGGAGGCTCCGCCCATCTCCACCGCCAGAAAAAAGAGGAAAGGCATAAACCATAAACATCAACATTTAGCGCTCCGCGCGGATTTCTTGGACCGGCGCTGGACCCCCTCCGTGGCGCGCGGAGCGCGCCAGGGGCGTCGCCGGAGGCGTCGCCTAGGGGGGCCCAGCGCGGAACCAAGAAATCCGCGCCGAGCGACAAAAGTTTATGTGCATGGCGTTTTCTCTTCTTCGAGCTCGGCCTGCTGCTCCTCCCCTCCTCCGCCGAGGAGACGCTCTGGCGCCCGCGGAGTCGAATCCATACCCGCCCCCTGGCGCCTGCGCCTCGCACGCCGTCACAGGCGCTCCGTCCGGATCCTCAAGGTGCCACTCCTGGGGAACACAAGATCTTCCTCATCCCCCATCCCCCTCCTCTTCATCCCCACCCCCATCATTGCCAGGATCCTCCTCCTCCTCCTCCTCCTCCTTCCGCGTCCTCCTCCTCCTCCTCCTCTTCATCCGCATCATCCTCGTCCTCCTCCTCTTCCTTCATCTTTGCCGATTCCTGCTTCTGCGACTCGCCCTGTCCCTATCCCATGTCTCCTCCGTTTCCTGCTCCGACGTCCCTCCTTCGTCATCCTCCCTCCGCCTTCTCCAACGCCTCCAACTCCTGCAACTCCTCCAACTCCTCTTCCTCCCTCCTCCTCCTCCTCCTCCTCCTCCTCCTCCTCCTCCTCCTCCTCCTCCTCCTCCTCCTCCTCTTACACTTGCGCCATACTCTCCGAGTAGCGGCAGGAGGATTGGCGGCAGTGGCGGCGACTGCGCTTGCAGTCGTTCGGCCAGCCATGCCTTCCTTGAGGGCGGCGGCCTGCTGCCTCGCTCGAGCGCGCGAGATCCGCGTGCGATTGCTTCCTTGCCGTGCCGCGGTGCCGTGCCGTGGTGCCGTGCCGTGGTGCCTTGCCGTGGTGCCGTGCCGTGGTGCCTTGCCGTCACGCCGTGCCGCGGTGCGGAGCCGTCGCGCGCGGGGCCGGCCGGGTGCTGGCCTGGCGGCTCCGCACGGCCGGGGCGGGGTGCAAATATCAGCCAGGCATGCTGGCCAGGGTGGCGTCCTCGTCGTCGTCGTCGGTATCGTCGTCGTTATCGTCGTCGTCGTCGTCGTCGTCGTCGTCGTCGTCGTCGTCGTCGTCGTCCATGTCATCGTCGTCGTCGTCGTCGTCATCGTCGTCGTCGTCGTTCGGGGGCGGCGGCACCGGCCTAAGGCCCCCCCAATACCAGCCAGGCAACCTGGCCAGGGTGGTGGCCGAGCTTCGCTTGGCAGCCGACTAGGTCGGTCCACCGCCCAACCGCCCGCCTTGGTGCGAGGATCTTCAGGGCAGAAGCTGGCTGGGCGGCGTAATCGGGAGGTTCTCATCCCCACAAGGCCCACCCGGCAGCGCAATGCACCCTTGTGCCAACAGAAGGCGCGCAGTCAAGCTCCTCCTCCTCCTCCTCCTCCTCCTCCTCCTCCTGCTCCTCCTCCTCTTCCTCCTCCTCCTCCTCCTTCTCTCCTCCTCCACCTCCTCCTCCTCCTCCTCCGCCTGGGAGCAGGAGCAGCCGAGCCGGGACACCCTCCACCAAGCTCCAGGGAGATCGTCCCCGGAGACCGCGCCGTGCGGCGCAGGGAGTCGGGCGCCTCCGGCGCGGGCGGCAGGAGGCAAGCAGCAGAGGGTTGCGTCTGGGTGCGCGGCTCGTGGGTGGCATCGTGTCAGCAACCATCCTCTTGATCCTCCTCCTGCTCCTGCTCCTCCTCCTCCTGCTCCGCCTCCTCCTCCTCCTCCTCCTTGACCTCGTCCTCGTTGTCCTCGTTGTCCTCGTTTTCCTTCTCCTCCTCCTCCTTCTCCTCGTCGCCGTCGGCCTCATCGTCGTCGCCGTCGTCGCCGACATAAGCCTCATCCTCAACACTGGCAACATCAGCATAAGTACCACTACCGCTAAGCATCACTACCATCATCACCATCATCATCATCATCATCATCATCATCATGATCATCATCAGCAGCATCATCATACTCATCATCATCACCATCATCACCAACATGATCATCGTCATCAGCATCAGCATCCTCATCATCAGCAAAAGCATCATCATCATCGTCATCGTCGTTATCATTAGCAGAGCCTCATCGTCATAGTCATAAACATGAACATCGTCCTCATCAAAACCATCAATACCATCAATATGATCACCCTCATCAATATCCTCAACATCCTCGTCCTCAACATCATCACCGTCACCATCATCCTCATCAGCATCAACATCATCATCCTTATCATCAGCAGCATTGCCATCATCAGCAGTCGCATAATCATCTCCGCCAACACCACCATCATCATCAGCATCAGCATCAGCATCACCATCACCATCATCATCATCATCATCATCATCATCGTCATCATCATCACCCTCATTTACCTCATCATCGCCATCATAAGTATCATCCTCAGCATCTCCATTCTCATCAGCACCACAATCACCATCAGCATCACCATCATCGTCATCGTCATCATTACCACCATCAGCAGCATCAGCATCATCATCGTCATAATCGTCATCATCGACATCGACATCATGCTTATCATCCGTATCCTCATCGTCATCATTACCTTCATCATCGCCATCATCAGCATCAACATCGTCGTCGTAAACGTCATCACCATCGTCATCATCACCACCATCATCATCATCATCATCATCACCATCATCTCATCTTGGGCCCTCGGAGGACGTAATCCAGCAGATCTCCCTGCATCGACAACGAATGGCAATAAAACTCACGGGCGTCCCGCTTGTGCACTTCTCATCATTTGAAGCAACTGGGAGGTCTGCGGTGGATGCGCACCACACACCGGCCAAGACAAAGGGGGCGACCAGCGAAATCGGCATACAATACGCCTGAAGAGAGGCGCGGCCCAGTGTGGAGGGGAGAGAGCGAGGTCTGCGCACTGGGGGGCTCCCCCTCCCTTTCTGCAGGCTGCAACCAATGACAGGCTACCTGAGCTCCACGACCGAGCGACGGAAAGAAACAAGTCCTACGCGAAATGGCACAGAGACCTTTTACGCCGCAGCTTACGAGGGCCGGCAGTGCGGCGCTCTACAATGGAAACGAGGAGGCGCTTACGCGCGAGCTTGCGCGGGCAGCTTACGCGTCAATGACGGCGAAGTCGACTCCGTTTCCCCGTCTAGGGGAACAGAACCGGCCTACACATAATTTGTTGGAGGTCCGCGCAAATTTCTTTGACCTGCGCTGGCTCCCCCTCTGTGGCGCGCGGAGCGCGCCAGGAGCGGCGCCAGAGGCTCCGCCGTGGGGTCCCAGCGCGGATCCAAGAAATCCGCGCGGACCGACGAAAGTTTATGCTTATGCCTTTGAGTGTGCTCCGACCGTCGCTCGACTGACGCCAAGCCCCTCGTGTCTGCACTATATCTGTATGACTCTAGTAGCCGGGGACGGGCGCGCAACTACGGATTAGCTGGCAGCAAGAGGGGGAAGGAGGAAGGGGGCGGCCGCAGAAAGCGGGCAGGGGAGGGAGGCACTCACCACGGAAGGAGTTTCTGGAGGAGCGCGCGAGGTGCGGCCAGCCTGCGTTGTGCCGAGGCAGCCTGGCAGTGGACGCGGGGCGGCGTCGCGACCACACCCAGGGGCTGAGGCCAAGGCTGCAGGCGCTGGAAGCGCAGGGCAAGGCACACCCTGCGACAGGTCACCGCGGCACACAGACGACTGCAGACGGGTGCGGGGCGGGAGGACGGCTGGGTCGAACGGAAGGAGCAGGAGGAGGAGGAAGAGGAAGAGGAGGAGGAGGCGGAGGAGGAGGAGGAGAGGAGGCGGAGGTGGAGTAAAAGGAGGTCCGCCGCTGGCTTCCTCACCTCGCGCCTCCTGGTGCTTCCCGGCGCCCATGCATCGAGGAGGAGCCCATGTGGCGGGGCCGAAACTGGCTGCATGCAGCAATTGTGTTCGTCACCCACCTTGTTCCTGTCCGCTTCCCCGTCGTCCGACCCGAGAGGGGAGGAGGAGGAGGAGGAGGAGGAGGAGGAGGAGGAGGAGGAGGAGGAGGAGGAGGAGGAGGAGGAGGAAGAGGAGAGAGGAGGAGGGGGAGGAGGAAGAGGAGGAGGAGGAGGGAGGATGGGAACGCTAGGGGGTGACCGTCTCGGGGGGGATCGAGCTTGACCTGGCGATACGTCGCGATTGAGAAACTCACGCTGCTGGGTTCAGGCCCCCATCGGCGATCAATCGACGATCGGAGAACGATGCGCCCCCTCTGAGCCCGTCCTCCCCTGGCATTGCCCCCGAGGGAAGTAGCCACCCTCTCCCGGTCCACACCAACCCATTCCCTCCCGTCCGGCCCGGGAGGAAGTGGAGGAAGAGGGGGACAGAAGGACAGAGGGAGAAGAAGGAAGCAACGACCTGGAATCTCCTCCTCCATCTCCTCCTCCTCCTCGTCCTCCTCCCTCCTCCTCCTCCTCCTCCTCCTCCTTCTCCTCCTCCTCCTCCTCCTCCTCCTCCTCTTCCTCCTCCTCCTCTTCCTCCAACTCCTCCTCCTCCTCCTCTCCTCCTCCTCCTCCTCCTCCTCCTCCTCCTCCTCCTCCTCCTCCTCCTCCTCCTCCCCCGATGGACCTGAAAGCTGCGGCGCGTCGCCGAGGCGTCCCTGGGCGGGGCGGGCCCTCGGGCTCGCGAATTCTCGGCGATGCTTCCCCGACGGGGGCTCGCCGCGTCCCCCCCACCCGAATCAGCCCACAGCAGGTGCCCGACAACGGGAGACCTTCCACAGGAGGCCCCCACCCTGATTTGGACGCCCGAAACGGGTACGGAAAAAATGGGTACAATGCCCAACAACAAATGTAGTCCCAAACCAGCAGCGGCCGCTGTTGGGCAGGCGGCCTTCTGTCTCGAACGGACACAGGCCGCGGCGGCGCGGACAACGAGTCCTGTTCAAAATGAGCAGGAACCGTTGTTGAGCATTGTACCCATTATTTCCGTGCCCATCTCGTTCGTGCAGAACGAGAGACCTTCCACAAGAGGCCACCACCATGAGACTCCAGGACGTCCAGTGACTGTTTCGACTGCACGCAAGAGTGACCCTGGATAAAAGTGACCTTTGGTGCGCGGCTTCTTGGGGACCGCGGGGGACCAAACACAAGCGCGCAAGACGTTAGTATCGCATCGCGTTCGGCGATCGGGGTAACCCATTGGGCCCGCACCAAAGGTCACTCCGGCGAAAGGTCACTCTTGCGTCTAGTCGATTTTTGGTGTGGGAACGTCACGCCTTCCGCAGCAGAGCCATGAAAATCGAATGAACCCAGGGCAACCTGGAGGCGAGCAGGGTGTTCCTTGGCATGGGGCCTCCACTGTCTCTCCCCCGCTAGACGTTGCCCCCGAAGGTAGAACAGTCCTGGGGCGGTATGGCAACCTGGCCCCCATCGGCGATCCATGAGCGACTCGGGGTCGATGCGCGCCCCCCCCCTGAGCCCATCCCTCCCTAGCTTTGCCCCCTCGGGTATAGCAAATCTTGGGCGGGTGTGGCCATCTGGCCCCCATCCGCGATCCCTGGGCGATCGGGGGTCGATGCACCCCCCCACCCCCCCCCGGGTAAGTCAAGAAGTACCTATACCGCAACTCCCCGGCTCTCTCCCAGTGCTTGGGTGCGTTCTGACCAAAATTTCGGAGCGACTCCAGCGGTGCGACGAGGGCCTTCCAGGAGGCCCCCAAATGGGGAGAACGAGGGACGGGTAGCGGTATGGGTAGCGGTCAAGCTAGCCAGCTCGAGCGAGTCAAGCATGGCATGCCCATTCCCACCCGCCCTCCCACAACATAAGAAACAGCGATGGCACAACTGGGGGCTGCTCTGGCATTTCAGTGCGAGTGGAGGATACCCCAGGACACCGCATGGACGTCCGCGCGGGATGCGCGCCGCGTCCAATTCCCGCCACGCCTTTCGCACCGTCGACGACAAGACTGGCCATGTTGAGAGGAACAACGGACACGTTCCGCCCTCCCACAACATAAGAAACAATGCTGGCGCAACTGGGTGTTGGCGCGTAGTGGTAGTAGTAGTAGTAGTAGTAGTAGTAGTAGTAGTAGTAGTAGTAGTAGTAGTAGTAGTAGTAGTAGTAGTAGTAGTAGTAGTAGTAGTAGTAGTAGTAGTAGTAGTAGTAGTAGTAGTAGTAGTAGTAGTAGTAGTAGTAGTAGTAGTAGTAGTAGTAGTAGTAGTAGTAGTAGTAGTAGTAGTAGTAGTAGTAGTAGTAGTAGTAGTAGTAGTAGTAGTAGTAGTAGTAGTAGTAGTAGTAGTAGTAGTAGTAGTAGTAGTAGTAGTAGTAGTAGGTAGTAGTAGTAGTAGTAGTAGTAGTAGTAGTAGTAGTAGTAGTAGTAGTAGTAGTAGTAGTAGTAGTAGTAGTAGTAGTAGTAGTAGTAGTAGTAGTAGTAGTAGTAGTAGTAGTAGTAGTAGTAGTAGTAGTAGTAGTAGTAGTAGTAGTAGTAGTAGTAGTAGTAGTAGTAGTAGTAGTAGTAGTAGTAGTAGTAGTAGTAGTAGTAGTAAGTAGTAGTAAGTAGTAGTAAGTAGTAGTAAGTAGTAGTAAGTAGTAGTAGTAGTACTAGTAGTAGTAGTAGTAGTAGTAGTAGTAGTAGTAGTAGTAGTACTACTACTACTAGTAGTAGTGGTGGTAGTGGACTCGAGGGCCCCGGGGGCCAGAAAGACTCGAACACCGATGCTCGAGGCGCAAAGTTCGAGCACCTCACTGAAACACTCCCCCTCGGCGCGACGCCGACCATGACCTGTGGGCGGCGCCGGCGCCGTGCCGCCGCGACGGGCCCTCCCAGTTCGGGCTTCGAGGCTCCTCGGAAGCTCTCGCGGCTCTTGGGCCCACATCCCCGACGATAGAATTTTCTCCGTGCTGGCGTTTTTCCGTCGACTTCGCACGTTTTTCCCTCGACCTCGCCCTCCAGGGAACGTTTTTGGCCCCCCAGACACATCAGAAAATATCCAGGACGCAAAACTGCCCCCGAGAAAGGGGTCGAGATCTCAGAGAGGCTTGGGACAAATTCGCCGGCCCAACGGGCCAGAGGCGTGCAAAGATCTCCGGTAACTAGTTAACAATCTTCTAGTTCGCGCGCGCGGGGGGCGACCCCTGGGGCCCCCCGGACGAAAAGTACCCCGAGCAGGTAGGTCCCGGGCCAGCCCAACGGGCCAGAGGCGTGCTAGGATCTCCGGTAACTAGTTAACAATATTCCAGTTTGCGCGCGCGGGGCGGCCTCTGGGGGCCCCCGGACGAAAAGAACCCCGAACAGGTCTTGGGCACGTCGGTCCCAGCGATGGTTTTCTTCTTCGGCGCTGACTTCCAGGTCCCAGAGCGCCCCAGGAACGCCCCGAGAGAGCCGAGACGCCCCCGAGACGATCCGAACGGCCCTGAGTCGCCGAAAAATCGTTCCAAGACGCCCAGGATGGCCTCCAGACGGCCGAAGACGCCGCCAAGAAACCGCGGGGAGCCTCAGGAGGCCCTCCAAGAGCCTGAACAAGCAAAAACCTCCCAGGCATTCGTCACCCCAGGGCCTCCTGAAACGCCCCGGCGCCCTATGAATTGGCGAGCTAAAAACGTGCGCCGAGCCAAGCGGGAGCGCAACTTTGAGATGAGAAAATTTCGCTCGGCGCCCAAGCGGGAAGGTCATTTCATTCACTTCGAGCGGGGGGGGAGGGGTGCGTGCCGCGCCCAATTCTTGCCATGCACTTTTGCGGGGTGGACGATAAGAACAACTACGTGGGCAGGGAAAATCAGCATGGCATTGTTTCTGACAAGTAAGGTGGCCCCTCCCGCCTGGGGGTTGCCCCAGAAGTCTGCGCGCGATGTGCGCCGCGCCCCACTCCTGCCACGCATTTCGCATCGTCGACGACAAGACAGGCCATGATGAAAGGAACAACGGCAACTCTGTATTGTTTTCTACAGTCAGGATGGGAGGGCCCGCAGCCCGCATGGACGTCCGCGCGCGATGTGCGCCGCGACCCATTCCTGCCACATCTTTCGCACCGTCGGCGACAAGGCAGGCCATGCTGAAAGGAAAAAACGGAGACTTCGTATTCAATTTTTACGGTCAGGATGGGCGGGCCCGGATTGACGGCCGCGCGCGATGTGCGCCGCATCCCATATGTGCGCCGCGTCCCATTGCTGCCACATATTTCGCACCATCGGCGACAAGGCAGGCCATGCTGAGAGGAAAAAACGGAGACTTTGTATGTTTTTTTTTACCCGTCAGGATGGGCGGGCCCATATTGACTGCCGCGCGCGATGTGCGCCGCGTCCCATTCCTGCCACGCTTTTCGCATCGTCGACGACAAGAAAGACGATGTTGAAAAGAAAAACGGCCACTTTGTATTGATTTTTTACAGTCCGGATGGGTGGTCCCGGATTGGGCCGCTATCGGCCGGAATACGAGGTAGGTGGGGGTATATACTAATAAGTAACAAGGATATGGGTATTTTTTTTTTGTCTGACCCCCCTGAGCCTGTCCCAGCCTGACGCTGCCCGAACCCTCCTGTCCCATCCCCTCCCCCCTCGTGGTGGACGCCCAAAACGTTGTACGGAACAAAAGCGGCCTCGTCTGGGCAGGCTGCCGGTCTTCGTGCCCCTTCTTGCCGCACCCACTCCCAGACGTGCGATGTCCTGCTTTCAGAGCCCCGTCAGCCCAGACGTGCGATGACCTGGACACCCCAAAATCCCTCGAAAACAATTGCTCCAGACGGCGGCACGAACAAAAACTGCACTGCAACCTTTCCAGCTCAAGCCCGGACACAAACCATAAAAGCCTGCAAGACCCACTGAGCAAACCCGCTTCCTGCAATGCAGCAAACAAAACATGCACAGGTGCTGAAAGATGTGACTTTGCAGGCCAAACTGTCGTTCTTTGGTTTCCCGTGCCCTGGCTTATCCGTGTCCTCGTCTCCGGGGGCCTGATGATTTGTTCAAATGCGTTGCCCCGAAGGCTCGACCCTTTCCCCATAATTACGGCTGGGATTAGGTCGGGCATGTCCTCCCACAGGTGAGTTTTATATGGAAAATGAGGAATACCCCAAAAGTGTGCCAAAATGGTCAGAAAATACTGGAAAAACCGACCTCTGACTAGTTTTTGAATCTGTTCTGTATTCCTCCTGTAGAGGGACGTGTCCGACGTAACGACGTAAGGCTAGGATTTCCTCACGAATGGCTTCGTGACGGCCCCGAGTCCCGGAGAAGGCCCCTAGAGGCCGATCACGACGAGACCTCTTTCCACGACGCGAGCATGTCCGGGTTGCAGACGTACAGTCGAAAGCGACGATAATGGAAGGCAGATAATCCACCCCCATCATAACCACCCCGACAAGCGAGACCGTCGAAAAAACGCACCCAAAGAAGGAATCGAACATGGCAGGGCTGTTTCGAGAACGCCCAAGGCCGTTTAGCAAACGCCAATTATAGGGTCTGGGTGTTTCTTCTCCCCTTGAGACAAGGATCGATCAGATAACCTTCGCAAGGGTACTTACCCTTGCATTTTCACCTCATCGGTCCGTCCTGAACCACTTCCGATGGACAGCGCCTCTCGGGAAGCTCCGGCATGGGCAATGGGGCTTGCATCCTTACCATGAACCTTAATTACTGTCAAACTTGACTGCACGAACTACTGCCGACTCCAGGGGGGTGGAGACCGGAAACAACGCCTGTGTCGTCCCAGGGGGACGGCCCTACGCTGGGCAAAACGGTGGCGCTAGGTCGCCGGCATCACTCGAACGTCGAATCTCGTGGGAGTGAGAACGAAGGAGGACGAAGAAGGAGAGGAGGGCAAAGGAGAGATGGGAGATCGAGGACAGAGGAAAGAACGATCAGGTTGAGAAAGGGAAGGATGATGAGCAGAAGGAGGATAAGCAGGAGGAGGATGGTGACGAGAATTGAAAGTTGGAGGAGGAGGGAAGGGGGCATTGGAAATGGAGAGGGGGAGGGAGAGGAGGGAGGAACAATAGGAATGGATAGACATATCATTAGGATGAGGAGGAGACAGGATGGAAGGAAGGAGGGAAGATGGGCAAAGAATGGAGGGAGGAGCCGGGATCGAGGATGGAGAAAAGATGAGGGAGAAGCCGGGAGGGAGGAGGGAACTGAGGAGGGAGGAAGGCGACTCATGAAAAACCTTGACGTTTCGTAAACCCCACCAGCCCATCCAGAAACAATGCCCAGGCGAGTTGTCTTGATCAAGAAAATGACAGACTAAGCAGTGGAACAAAATGAGGCAGCTGTCAAACCGAAGCTCGGGATCAGGCTGAGCATACCAGGAGCCAACCCTTCCTGCTTCCGCGGATCTCTCGATTCTTATGTTAGGTCGGGCATGTCCCCCTACAGGCGGATTTTGGACGAAACATCAAACATACCCCAAATATACTCAAAAATCATGCCCTCCAAAATTGAAACATCGTCTCCAGACTATGTTGTTAGTATTTTGTGATACTCCTCCTGTAGAGGGACGTGCCCGACTTCGTTCTTATGGGAGGCCCCCCCTCTCGTCGGAGCCCGAAAAATCGTCTCCTGGGACGCTCTTGGGGCCATCTGGGCCTTCGTAACCGTGCCCCCTCCTATTTTGGACGCCCGGAATGGGTACGGAAAAAATGGGTACAATGCCCAACAACAAATGTTGTCCCACACCAACAGCGGCCGCTGTTGGGCAGGCGGCCTTCTGTCTCGAATGGACACAGGCCGCGGCGGCCTGGACAGCGAGTCCTCTTCAAAGTGAACAAGATCCGCTGTTGGGCATTGTACCCATTCTTTCCGTGCCCATTTCGGGCGTGCAGGCCTACACTCTGGCCGATCCACTCGATACGCTGGGCCTCCGGCGGGGTGGAGGTGGCGAACGTCTGCTGCTCCCACGGGCCGACGCCCACGGCGTTGACGGCGCGCACCTCGGGCGCCCCGGCCGGCGCCGCGCGGCCGCCGCTCCGCCGGCCGCCGCCGCCGCCGCCGGAGGCTCCTGAGCGAGGCCTTCCGGGTGCTGCTAGAAGTGCCCCTGGTCCAAGGTGCCCTCAGGATTCCCAGGGAGGCCCGCACGGCCTCCAGAGCACCCCTCTCGAGGCCCAGGGGGGCAGGAGCTCCACAGTGGAGCGAAAAGCTGGGGGCACCTTGGGCCAGGGGCACCTTGAGCAACCCCCGAGCCTTGGATCTGGAGTCGGCGGGGCTTCGGAGGTGGCCCGTGCCGGCGAGCCAGGGGAGGGGCGAGCCACGAATCTCTGGGTGCGAGAAGGTCCGTTGCCTTTGTCGGTCTCGCTGTGGAGGCCGTGTGCGGGCTGTGGAACAGAGCCGGGGCGAAGACCTCGGCCGGCTTGGGCGTCTTGGAGCGCTCGGGGGCCGTCTCAGAGCCCCCCTGGGCCGTGGTGAAGGCATCTGGGGGGGCGAATCAGCTTAGGGACCTCCAAACGCAGCCTGGGCCCCCGGGACCCTCACTTGCGGTCGGGGCCCCTGCCCTGGGGCTCCCCGGCCAGGTGCGCCGATATATGTACACTGAGACTACGCGGGCGCTTCGCGCCCGCTCATGTTATGGTTGCGGCGGCCCAGAATTACCACAACCTGCGTTCGCAGAAATGTCGGAGGTATCCGCGCGGAGGTCTTGGGGCGGCGCTGGACTTCCCTTGGTGACGCCACCAACGCCGCCACTCTCGCGCCCTGCGCGGCAGATGAGGGGGATCAGCGCCGAGCCGCGTCTGTGAATCTGGAGGCAGATCTGGTTCCGATTAGGCCAGAAGAGAAGCCAACGCCCCGCTGGGGAGACCAAGCGGCACCTGTACCGCTACTCCCCGGACCTCTCCCGAGATGCGTTCTGACGAGCAAGTCGAGGCGACTCCAACGGTGGCGAAGATGGACGTGCAGAGCTATCAACACCTTTTCCTTTTTTGTCCATGGGCGCTCCCTGTGGTTCGAAGCGGCAGCTGCATACACCACCGTCCATGGCCAGGGCTCCGTCCTGGGCCCTGGGGTGGCGCACGCGAGCCCCGTGACCTCGGCCACAGGAAGGGGCTGCACACCGTCCTGGAGGCCATGGCCCTGGGACCGAGGACTGGCGGCGGCGTGCACGGCGGGGTCGCGTCGTGACGACCAGGGCGTCGCTCTCTGACACCGCGAGGATCGTTCGACCTGGAACGATCGGCGGCTTTCCCATTGCCAGATCGTTCCACATCGGCCGACTCTGGGCCACCGGCGGCGCTCCGCCCTTGAATCGGCGGCGGGCCCGCGGGGAAGCGAGAAGTGGCAGGCCGTCCCAGAAGGCTCGGAAGTGCCCGGGCCTCCTGCAGGGTGTTCAGAGCCTGCCCCGAAGACGCAGCAAACCTCTTGGAAGGCCGGAGGGCTTCTGAGAGAGGCCTCCGCCTTGTGAGAGGGCCTTCGCCTCCTCGCTTCCCCCCACCCGCTTGCCGCCGATTGAGAGCTTGCGGCGGGGTCGCGGCTGGTCGCCGCGACGCGGACCTGCCGAAGCTCTAGGTCCGGCGTGTCCTCACACACGCAGATCCTGGGAGAACAGCTCAAAAGAGCCTGAACACATTCATAACTCATGACACCAAACATGATCGAACAATCGCCTCCAGACCCTTTTTTCTGCTACTCCTGAGTGCTCCTCCTGCACAGGGACATGCCCGACAGGATCGTGGCTGCCTTATGTCTGGGTGCGGTAGCCCCCCCCCGCGCGCGGGCCGCCGAGCTGCCCGCCGCGCTGCCACAAAAAAACGCGGACGGAGCGAGCGGCCGCGCGGGCTGCCGCGGAGGGAGGCGCCCCCCGAGGAGTAGCAGAAGGAGGAGGAGGAGGAGGAGGAAGAGGAGGAGGAGGACGAGGAGGACGACGAGGAGGAGGAGGAGGAGGAGGAGGCCTCACTGCAGCTGGTCAGCTTGCCTGGCGCAGGCCCCCTCCCTCCGCTGCCACGACAGGAAGCCGCGGACGCGAGCGAGCGGCCGCGCGGGCTGCCGCGGAGGGAGGCGCCCCGAGAGAGGCCGGCCAGAGCCCCCCCGGGGGGCCGGCCGCAGGCACGCGGGGCGGGCGAGCGCGCCCGCCCGTGGCGAGGAGGCGTAGAGTCATCGGCCCGACCTCAGGAACGACAAATTCGCCGGCCCAACGGGCCAGGGCGTGCTAAGATCTCCGGTACCTGGTTAACATTATTTCTAGTTCGCGCGCGCGGGGCGGCCCCTGGGGGTCCCTGGACGAAAAGTACCTCGGCAAGGTCCCGGCAAGTCCCCGGCAAGGTCCCGGCAAGGTCGGGCCAGAGATGCCTGAGTTCTGTTTCGGAGTCCAAGAGGGCTCCAGATCGGTCCAAGAGGGCCCCGAGGAGCTTTCTAGACGGTCCAAGAGAGGCCCGAGACGGCCAAAGATCGCCCGAAGACGCCCCAGATGGCCCCAAAACAGCCCAAGAGGCCTCCAAGACGCTCCAAGGGCCTTCCAAGAGGCCTCCGAAGAGGGCCCCAAGTTGCCAAAATCGTTGATTTTCATTGTTTTTTTCTATGTGTTTTTGCCTTCTGGCCTTTTCGCTTCCGGACGCTCCAAGAGGGCCCAAGAGGCCTTCAAGACTGCTCCAAGACGGCCCACGAGGCTCCCAAGACGGCCCCGGAGCGGCCCAAGAGCGCCCCCCAGACGGCCCAAGTGCTGCCCAAGGCGGACCAAGAGGCCCCAAGACGGGCCCAAGAGGGGCTCAAGAAGGGAACCGAGAACTGAAAAATCGAGCCCTCCGCCCCAGAAGGCGCCCAGGACCCCGAAAGAGGCCCCAAGAGACTCTCCAAGACACCCCCAAGACGCCCCAATAAGCTCCCGTGAGGCCCCAAGAGGACCAACAACGTCAGGCCCCAGGCCCCAAGAGGACCAACAAATACCGCCAAGAGCCCGCCGAAAGCCCCCCAAGAGACCGTCACGAGAGCTCAGGAGGCCCCCTGGAGGCCTCCCGAGTTCTCCAAGAGGCCTAAAAAGAGGCGCCAAGAGGCCCCAAACGGCCCCAACGAGGCTCCAAGAGGCCACGAACGCGCAAGCAAACGCCTGCGATGGCACAATACGGGCCGGCGGAATGAGCGAAGAGATTAAATAATACATAACGCAGAAGGGGTAACTCTTAAGGAACGATAAGGACAGGTGAGCAAGGATACAACATAATAGCAATAGTAAGAATACTGATGATACTAATACTAATCAGAATACGAATAAGAAGAATAATAATAAGAATAAGGAGCGCATAAGGAATACCGCAGAAGGAGTAACGCACAACAGCCCCCTGTTCTTTCCAAGGGATAAGGCATAAGGAACGATAGCTACTAGATAGCGCACACGGAGCGATCAATAACGCACGCAAGCCTGAGCAAGCAAGTGGGTGTTCCTGATTCGAGCCGCTCACTGTAGAGGATGCGGCGGCGAGCTTCCCTGGGGAGGCGATGACTGGGGGAAGCGATGAGTGGGGGGGGGGAGGCAGCAAGGGCCGCAGAAAGGGGGCCCTCTGTAGGGCCCTGGAGGGGCCCTTCAAGGCCCGTGAGGAAGCCTTCTATGGGGCGCGACAAGGGCACCGTTCTCCCCTCCCTCCCCTTCTTCTTTGTCCCTTTTCTCCCCCCCCCATTGTATCGCCTCCCTGTTGTTTCGCGCCCCCCCCCCCTGAGCCCGCCCTCCTCGGGACGTTCCCCTCGGCGGCGAGACTGGAGGGAAGTGAAAAAGGCGCGGGCCTTCTCAAGGGGCTCGGAAGCCCCCCCGGCCTTCTGAGAAATGTTCTGAGCCTTCCGCGAAGACACGGACAACTTCTCGGAAGGCGCGATGGATTCTGTGAAGTCCCGCCGCCTTCTGAGAAGGACTTCACCTTCTCACTTCCCACCTCTGGTCGCCGCCAGAGGACGGCTCGAGGGTAGGGAAGGATTCTACGTAGCAGCCCGCAGACGCGGATAAGAACGAGGGGGCGGGCGCGGGGTGGGTCGCGGGCGGACGCGGGGTAGGTCGCGGGCCAGGTCGCGAGAGGGACGACGACAACAACGCAACGCAACGCAACGCAACGCAACGCAACAACAAACGCGGAACCCCACTTCAGCCACGCACAAAAGGGACAATGAACGACCGTTCGGCCCCCTCGCTGTGATATATAACGACAGTGGTCCAAGTCGGTTAAACAATCGCAGGCGCGCCAGAGGTTTAATCTGGAAAGCGCTATAAACATAGTTATAAAAAGAGCCAACTGATACAGGCCGCGACGCTTCGACAATCGCGCTGGGCCCCAAAATGGCATCCGCCCAACAGACTCATAGGAGTCATAAACCGATTCTCTGCCTGGCAGCAAAGGGGCACCTCCCCTCCGATGCGCCGCCGGTATAAGATTCGCTGCAGGCGTGCTGGAGGGCACAGCTTCCAGCACGGCAGGCAGTCAGTAGCCACAAAGAGCAGAGGGAGAAGTTGGGAGGGAAGAGGAGTCGTCAACTCCCTCTGTGATCTCGCCATCGCTCGGACGTCTGTTCCCCTTGCATGTGTCGAGTTCGTGCGTTCATTTTTCCCGTAGGATGAGCCCAATCCCAGACCCCCGACGTCATGATTTGTTCATAACGTCGACCCCCGGAAATCAAAAAGCATTCCCCGGGAACGGTTTCTCCTCCTGAATCGTTGTTTGACGGTCCCGCGGCTGGGCGAGGGCCCCCAGGGGCCGACAACGGCTGAACACCTCCCGTCCTGATCTTTTAACGCCGCGGTCATGTATGGGAAGTGCTCCTCCTCCGCCTCCTCCTCCTCCTCCTCCTCCTCCTCCAACTCCTCATCCCCCTCCTCCCTCCTCCCCCTCCTTGCCTCTGCCCTCCGCATGCCTTTTTCGGGAGACCCTCACACGGTGTGTGGCCCCATAGGCAGCTCCACCGAAGGCACCAGTGGCCGCGTCCGCATGCGCCTCCCCACCCACCGCATGTCCATCCTGGCCCTCGCCGACGGAAGAAACGTCCACGTTCGAGCGATGCCGAGTGGGATGGCCCCGCGGGTGCCACCTGGCGCGCCTCAGTGCGCGCACAGCTGCCGCCGCATGCCCTGCGTCTGCCAGGCGTCCACCGAATCCCTTATGAGCATCAGTTCACCGATCCCATCCCCAGCGCCGTGGCCTGGGCCCCGCTGGCCGATTTACCCCCCCAGATGGGGAGATGTGTCGTTCTCTTTGGGTTTCAGGGGGTGTATCCCCAACTGGGGTGGTAAGCCGGTGGGGGTCTCGAAGGGGATGGAGATGGGGATGGGGATCGGTTGAACGATGCCGACCTTAGCACCTCGGCGAGGGACTCCTCCGAGCTCCCGCCGTCCGACAGCTGCCGAGGCAGCGGCTCCTGGCTCCCTGCGCCGATCCCGCCCTCGGCCAGCGCCTGCAATTAGAAGAAGAAAGCGATGGGCAGATGTTCCACCACCACCACCACCACCACCACCACCACCACCACCACCACCATAACTTGGAGGGGGAGGGGGTCCTCCTCCTCGTCCTCCTCCTCCTTCTCCTCCTCCACCTCCTCCTCCTCTTTTTCCTGCTCCTCCTCTCCTCCTCCTCCTCCTCCTCCTCCTCCTCCTCCTCCTCCTACTACTCGTCCTCCACCTCCTTCCCCCTCCAACTTATGGTGGTGGTGGTGGAAAACAGGCCCATCAGAACAATTAGCGAGCAGAAAATCCACCCCCATAACAATCACTCCGACACGCGGATTCGTTTAGAACGCACCCAGAAAAGGAAACGAACCGGGCAGGGCTGTTTCGTAAACGCCCAGTGCCGTCTAGCAAACGCCAAATTATCGGGTCCAGTGCTTTTGAAAAACCGGCATAAGCATTAACTGTCGGCGCTCCGCGCAGATTTCTTGGATCTGCGCTGGACCTCCCTCCCTGGCGCGCGGAGCCCGCCAGGGCGGCGCCGGGGGCGCCACCGGGGGGGGTCCAGCGCAGATCCGAGAAATCTGCGCGGAGCGTCAAAGGTTTTTCTGGTTTTGGCGTTTGGTCTTCTTCTAGAGGAAAGAGAACTATGCACATACACCGATTCTGGCCAGGCCCAACCATGAGCCCAGGATCGGTTCATACGCCCTCTTACCTTGGCCAGGCAGGCATCTGCACCGATCCTGGGCCGAGGATGGGCGTTGTCGGGATCGGTGCATGGGCATAGCTCTCTTCGCCCGCTCTGCGAGCCTGCGCCACCGCCAGGCTGACGGCGCCAGGGCACGCGCGCGAGGCCTCGCGCATGGCGACGACGAGCTCCCGGAGCACCTCGGGCTCGCGGGCCACGGGCGAGCCCGCCGCGAGCTGGCACCAGGCCCGGGCGAGGAAGGGCAACGCCGCCTGGAAGACGGCGGCGCTGGGCCCCGACGTGTGCCCCTGCCGGGTAGCAGCAGCAGCAAGAGTACCCCAACCCTTTGGGAGGGGACCGAAGTTAGAAGGACCCCAAAACATGAAGGATAGAGGGGTCTTTTTGTGCTGCAGGTGTATCGAAACCAAGCCGCCCAGAACTATGATCCCTCATGCAAAGACGGAGGATTGGGTGAGGTCACGTCTTCACTTGGTTCGTAGGGTTAGTTTTTTTGTGCTCGATGACCTGCTGCAGCCAGTGCGGGAGGCGCGCGAACAGCCGCAGGCTCCTGGGGAGGCCAAGGTCGAGAGCAGGACCTCCACCCCTCTACATAAGCACCCCGACCAGCGAAGCCATTCAGTAGACGCACCCATGCAAGGGATCGAAATGGGCAGGGGTGTTTTGCAAACGCCCAGGGCAGTTTAGTAAACGCCCACTTTCGGGGTCGGGGTGGTTGTTCACCCCTGGGCAAAAGGCGTCGATTCCACTACTCCCCAACCTTTCCCCTGTGCGTTCTGACCAGAAGCTCGAAGCGAATCCAGCCGTGGTGACGAGGGCTTCCCGGGCGGCCCACAGAGGCGAAAAGAGGGAAGGGTAGCTGAACCCTTTTCCTCCTCTGGGCTCCAGCACATGGCGCGCGGGCAGGTCAGCTGCGGCAGCGCCGCGGCGATGGCCAGCAGCGCGGAGGAGAGCGCGGCTGGCTGCTGCAGCACGCACAGCGCCGCCGCCGACCTTTCGGGCCCCCAACGCAATGTGGTGACGGACCGCGTAATGATCTCGCAATCCCCAAAACCGTGTGGTGGCTCACCACACGGTTTTGGGGCCATGCAGACCCCAGTCGCCGGAGGCGTCCTAAAAACACGACCCGACTCACACAACCACGCGGCGACCCCAAAACCCGACGGACTCACCGCGCGATGTGTACCTGGCTACGCACGACAAAGCATTCGAGGCCATTTTTGCTCGCACGGTATCTTCGCGGTGTCCCAGCACTTCGAGGCCTACTCATTCGTGGACTCCTCTGGCGTCGCCTCGCCTGGACCAACCTACCGCGTAGTGAGTGCAGAGCACTCACCACGCGGTGTGATCACCATGCCATTCGGTGACGAACCAACAACACACACACCCATACCCATAGGGGGGTCGGAGAGGGCTATGGGTGCGTGTTGTCGAATGGGGGTCCCCGCTCGAACGGGAGCGTTCCCCAGGGTCCGACAACCCGCACCCATACCCATAGCCAGTCCTCTTCCCGACGACCCCCCTATGGGTATGGGTGTGTGTTGTTCGTTCGTGATTCGGGGGCCCCCGAGACCTCCCTGGCGCCAGCGTCGCCGCGAGGAGCTCCGGCAGCGCTGCCGCAGCGTCCGCCGGCAGTGGCCCGTCCGCCGCGGCGCCCAGCAGCGCGCCCGCCGCCCCCAGCGCGCTGCTCGCGAGCCCGGCGGCGACGGCGCCCTCGGCGGGGCCGCCGCGCAGGGAGTGCACGAGGCTCGTCAGCGCCGAGAGCGCGGGCACCGTGAGCGCCGGGGCGGTGCGGCTGCGAGCCACCGCGTCCCGCAGCAACGACGCCGCGCGCAGCACCGCCTCCTGTGGGCAGGACGGGGTAGGCATCGAATCGGTAGATCGGGTCGGCTCGACGTGGAGAGGAGGCACAACAGCGTCATGCAAGCGTCGGGCCGCATCGGTTCTCCCGAAACTCTGGCTACACGCAAGAGTGACCCTGGGCAGAAGTGACCTTTGGTGCGCGGTTTCTTGGAGGCCGTGGGGGGCTCAAGCACCAGCGCGCACGACGCTACTAGCGCATCGCATTCGGCGATCGGGGGACCCCATTGGGCCCGCACCGAAGGTCACTTCGACGAAAAGTTCCTCTTACCCAGACCCCCGAAGTCATGATTTCTTCACAGCGTCAACCCCCAGAGGTCTGGCACCTGCCCTGGGACCGGTTTTTCATCCTGAGTCGTTTTGTGATGGCCCCGAGGCCTGGTAAGGGCTCCCAGGGGCCAAACATAGCAAACCCCCCCGTCGTGATGTTTTCACAGCGCGAGGAGGTCTGGGCACGCCTAGACGGAAAATCGCGATCGAATCGACTATGGCCGGCCGAGGAGGAGGAGGAGGAGGAGGAGGAGGAGGAGGAGGAGGAGGAGGAGAAAGAGAGGAGGAGGCGGAGCAGGAGGAGGAGGAGGAGGAGGAGGAGGAGGAGGAGGGTCGGATCGGTCGGATCGAAGCGGGCCCCGTCCTGGGCGCCGGGGTGCGCCCACGCGCCCCCGAGCGCCTCCACGAGGGTCTCGCACACGGCCGAGGCGATGGCATCCGTGGGCACCCACGCAGTCAGCGCGGCCTCGAACCTGGGGAAGTCGCCAGAGACAAAAGTACCAGTACCACCAGCTTGGAGGGTGGCTGTCCCACCCTCTCGAGCTGGCGGCACCTCGTTCTGGGCATGCCTCCGGAGAGTTCCCGGAAGGACGTGCCACCAGCTTGAGGGGAGAGAGCGGCCACACGCCTAGCTGGTGGTAGTTGTACTTCTACCTCTCCTGAGGAAGGGAGAATGGAGCTCTGTGAGCCGTTCTAGGCCTCCGACCAGCATCCAGCTCCCCGGGGGAGCTACAGTCAACCCGTATCATGAGGATGCGCGGTAAGGATGCAAGTGTTTCTTGGAGGCCCATGTTGACGTTTTTCGAGCGAGGCTGGCCAGCGAAAGTCGCTTAGGATGGGCCGAAGGGGCAAGGAGGAAAGGGTACCCTTGGAAGGTTGCCCGTCCTCACTGTGCGGGTTGAAAGTAGATGCGCCTCAGAAATGCGGGCACAGATGATTCCCAGAACTCCGCGGAGCGCCTGTCCAGTTCAAGAGCGCACGATGAGCATGCAAACCCCTTGGACGCCCATGTCGGAGGCGTTTCGAGCGGGGCTGGCCATCGGAAATGGTCCAGAAACAAGTTCGGAATGGCGTTCGAAGACGTTTGGGAAGGTGATCCATCCTCCCTATTGGTTTCGACTGCAGGTGTTGCCGAAATTCTGCGATGAAGGAGTCGGTGATAATGGGATTTCCCCCCCCTACAAATGCTTTACGCCGAATCGTCGTTGGGCTGTCCAGGGGCCTCGAAAAAGCCTTGGGTCGGGCATGCCCCCCTACAGGAGGATTTTGGGCGAACAATCAGAAATGCTCAACAAACAAAGCAAACACAGCCAGACAAAAATAAGTACAAATCGCCCCCAGACTAATCTTGGACTATTTGAACAAACATTCCTCCTGTAGAGGGAGAGGCCCGGCTAAAAAAGAAAAAGCTCCCGGAGCCCGACGGCTCCGCGGCGCGCCCCGGGGGGGAAGCGAGAGGGGGCGGGCCCTCGCAGAGGGCTCGGGAGTCCGCGGCTCTCCGAGACGTTCTCTGAGCCTTCCCCGGAGACACCGGGCACCTGTTTGGAGCGCCCAAGAGGGGGGCGTCCAAGAGGGGGGGGTGCAAATCATAGCCGGCGGCACGTGCGCGGCCCAGCGAGGGGGGGGGGCTGGGGACGTAATGAAACGAGAAGAGGCGCCCTGAAATCTGGGATCATGGCCCCCGCCATGATATCCACCCCCCCTAAGTCATCAACCCCCTCTTTGCCGCCCCCGATGAGGGCGGCGCCCAAAACGGGTACGGAAAAATGGGTACAATGCCCAACAGCAAATGCTGTCCCAAACCAACAGCGGCCGCTGTCGGGCAGGCGGCCTTCTGTCTCGAATGGACACAGGCCGCGGCGGCGTGGACAGCGAGTCCTGTTCAAAATGAACAGGATCCGTTGTTGGGCATTGTACCCATTCTTTTCGTGCCCATTTCGTTCGTGCAGATCCGAGACGTTCTCTGAGCCTTCCCCGGAGACACCGAACACCTCACACCTTTGGGTGACCCAGAAGGTGGTGCAATAGATTTCAGGCGATCGTATTGCAAATAGATTGCGCCGGAGAGAAGTGTACTGAACTGTCATGCAAGCTATGTACTGCACTCGAAAATCCAGCAATACATCTGCGCCCCAGAATGTATTGCACGCCCCAAATGTATTGCAACCCCGCGAATCGATTGCACCAAATCCATTGCACCACACCACCTTGTCGCTGGACCCCCTTTAGGGTCAACCCGAATACCTCTCAGAGGGCGCGAGGGCTGCTAAGAGGCCCAGACGCCTCCTGAGAGGGCCTTCTCCCTCTGGCTTCCCCCCCTCGCTCGCCGCCGAGACAGGGCTCCCACAGCCAACGCACGGCGAGCAACCTCAGGGCCCTTGGACACGTTCGCCATACAGGGGGTTTGTCGACCCATATGCCAGGCTTCATGGGACTTTCGAAGGGAACCGAAGGTTGGGGCCCAACCCTGGGATTTGCGATGGGGGGGGGGCGCCCATCTTCCATGGAGTGCGTCCGAAGAGCCCACTTTGGGGTGTATGCCAGTGTTTCCCTCCTTTTCTGAGCGGCTTCAGTTTTCGTTCAGGTCGGGCATGTCCTCCTACAGGCAGATTTTGGGCGAAACATCAAAAATAGTCAAACTTTCTTTAATGTTCAAACATACTCTCAAACATCGTCCCCAGTCTATGTTTTGACAGAGTGTGAATATTCCTCCTGTAGAGGGACAGGCCCGACTCACTTTGTCGTCGAAGAGTCGGGGGTCGGGTTAGGTCGGACATGTCCTGCTACAGGCGGGTTTTGGACGACAGATACAACATAGTCAACACATATTTCAAGATAGCTGAACCATAATTGGAAAGTCTGAAGGGGCCCTGGGACACGCAAATAAATACACACAAATAACAGGATTCCCCATATGTTCATATATTTTCAGGGATTTTGTCTTCCCCCCACTTCCCATATGTTCCCACATTTTGCTTGGGATCGACGATAATTTGTGTCCGTGTTTTATTGCTTCCCCCTCCTGAAAGTCGTCCCCCGATTGATGTTTCTTGCCTGTTTGTGAATATTCCTCCTGTGGAGGACGTGCCCGACTCCAAGGCTCTCGGGAGCGGCCAAGAGGGGAGCGTCCAAGAGGGGGGGGTGCAAATCATGGCCGGCGGCATGTGCGCGGCCCAGCGGGGGGGGGCTGGGGACGTAATGAAATAAGAAGAGGCGCCCTGAAATCTGGGGAAATATCATGGCCCCCGCCATGATATCCACCCCCCCCTAGTCATCACCCCCCTCTTTGCCGCCCCCGACATATGTTCCCATGTTCCCTGGGGATCGACGATACATTGTGTCTGTGTATGTGTTTCCCCCTCCTGAAAGTCGTCCCCCGGTTGATGTTTCTCGTCTGTGTATGAATATTCCTCCTGTGGAGGACGTGCCCGACTCCAAGGGTTTGAGGGAAAGACATCGGGTTCTTCTCACCCAGGTCAATCCAGACCCAGGTCAGCAAGAAACCAAAACCTGCAATGCCGGAAAACAAAACGGCAACGGAGGTCTTCGCCAACCCGGGTCAGCCAATATGCGCGGCCGCCTCGCTGCCACGAGCAGCTCGCTGACCCGGGTCAACCAGAGGGGGTCTTCGCAGGATCCTGCAGGATCCGGTGCCCTGGCTGACCCCCGTTTGCACTGACCCCCGTCCCTTAGGCCCCGAAGACATCGCCCGCGATGTCCCGGGACGCCGCCCGCTCTCCCAGGGGCCTCGCCCGCCTCCCCTGGGGCCAGACCTCCCTCCCGGGGCTGGACCTCGGCGCTGCTCATCGTTTTTGTTGTCGTGTTGCGCTTCGCTGTGTGGTATCCTTTTCGTTTTCATGTTGGCTTCGGTTTCGTTTTGTCTTCGTGTTCTCTTTCGTTACTGTTTCCAGTTCGTTTTCGTTTTGTCCTCGTGTTTTTGTTCGTTATTGTTTCCAGTTCGTTGTCGTCTTGGTTTCGTTCGTTGTTCGTTTTGGTGTCTTGTCGTGTTCCTGCAACTCCCTCCCGAAAACGCACAAAACAACAGAAAACACAACCGAAGCCCAGCAGACCAGCAGAGCAGCGCTCGGGTCCAGCCCTGCTCCATCCTGGGCCGCACCTGCTGACGGCCCCGGCACGCGCAGCGGGGAAACGGTCTCCACGTGGCCGAGAACAGGAGGAGGAGGAAGAGGAGGAGGAGGAGGACGAGGAGGAGGAGGGAGAGGAGGAGGAGGAGGAGGAGGAGGAGGAGAGGAGGAGGAGGAGGAGGAGGAGGAGAGGAGGGAGGAGGAGGAGGAGGGAGGAGGAGGAGGAGGAGGAGGAGGAGGAGGAGGAGGGGAGGAAGAGGAGGAGGAGGAGGAGAAGGACGAGGAGGAGGAGGAGGGGAGGAGGAGGAGGAGGAGGAGGAGGAGGAGGAGGAGGAGGAGGAGGAGGACACGTGGCCGAGAACAGCGAGCGAGAAACAAAACCATCACCACTCGCCGGCGTCGCCCGGGCCTGGGGCTCCCGCCCGGCAGCGGAGGCCCGACCGCGAGAAAGCTTCCTCCTCCTCCTCCTCCTCCTTCTCCTCCTCCTCCTCTCCTTCCTCCTCCCCCTCCTCCTCCACCTCCCCCTCCCCCTCCCTCCTCCTCCTCCTCCTCCTCCTCCTCCTCCTCCTCCTCCTCGTCCTTCTGCTAACCCTGAGACCCCAGGGGCGGCCTTCGGCTCGTGGCGTGGGAGCGTCACTCCTTGCCTCGCAGGACCATCGAGACCCAGGGAACACAGGGCACCCTGGACGCAAGCAGGGTGTTTCGTGGCATGGGTCTGCGCTCCCAGAGATCCGATGTCGTGATTTCTTCCATACGCGGTCCCTCGAAGTCGCGACCCATTCCCAGGACCGGTTTTTCATCCTGAGTCGTTTTTTGACGGTCCTGGGGCCTGGCGAGGGCCCCTAGATGCCGACCATCGAGAAAACCTCCGTCTTGATTGTTTCAATGCGCTGCATCTCTGGGCTGTAAGCTCGGGTGGGGAGCCTGCAAGCCACTTGTCTCTTGCGGAGAGCCACGACGGCGGGGCCTCGAGGGGGGCACCTCCACACTTTTTTGCCTCCTGGGAAGGCCCGTCCCCCCTCTTTGCGCAGGAACCGACGGTCCCAGCACACCTGTAGGCCTGTACCACGACATGTCTTCAGAACCCCAAATTACTCTAAGAACAAAACCAATATTCTTGAAGCACAAGCCCGACGTGCTAATACAAGACAGTCTCGGCCAGAAGTGTTCTGTAAGAACATGTCGCGCAGACCACAAAAATATGATCCGACCATTTCTTGGTGGGCCTATAGGCGAGCTAGAACGCTTCGCCATCGCTTGACCTCTCACTTTCCTCCTGAGCTCGCCGCCGAAACTATACTGGATAGGAAAATGCCGCGCCATGGCGTCGCATCGGCCGATACGAGCCGAAGCTTGCATTGCACACATGTTGAGACACAATCATTTGGTGTCCGTTCCATGGGAGCCTGCGTGGCTCCCAGCGCTGTCCGATTTGGGCCTGAGTTGAACCAGATTTGGAACAAATTTGGATCAGATGTTGACCAGACTTAGAATGGATTCGCGGGGACTAGAAGAACGAAGAGGAGGAGGGGGGACAGGAGGGGAGAGAAGGAGCAGGAGGATGGGCCAACTGCGGCCCCTACGCGGTCCAAATGCAGGAAAAGCTGATTTCAGTGTCGCCGCCCAAGGCTCCCATGGACAGACTTCAAACAGCGTGACACCCGTGCACGAACTGTGTGCACAAAAGCTTCCCCTCGTGGCCAAAGGCACCACGGGCTCTGCCGGTGCTGGGCGGAACAGGTGCTCGGAGGCAGTACTTCACACGCGAAGGTTACAGAGGATGTATATGCTCCAGTTTCCGAAGAAGAAAGCCCTCTCATGGGACGCGCAAAGACATACAAATACTAAAAGTCCTTCTTGGAGGCGCGCGTCCGACCCGAAGATATGGTATACCCATCGTGCAGTATATTGTTTCCCGAGCGGTGTGGCCAGAAACCGCCCGCCACGACGCATATACTATAAGATTTGTCGGTGCGCGCGTCGCCCTTCGGGGCGACACACACACACACATCTAGTACAAATAGGTTGGGGTGACGCCGATCTCAGAAGGCGGCAGGACTACTCAGAAGCGCTCCGTGCTGGAGTTTACCCTCGACGAAAATGCTCAAAAGCGCTCCTGCATTCTGAAAAG